TTACTGTTTTTCTTTATATTTTGTTATCAAAACCTGAATTTATTTGTTTTTTTTGATGGTAGATTGGACAAAACAAGCAAATTTGTTTGGTTTTTACAAAATTCTGATGACATTTGTGTGTATTTTATGACACTTAATTGAACCTAACTTAAACAATAAATTGTGAAAAATTCTTCACAATAATTAGTAATATTAGTTATTGGATACTACCTATCTTTATTTTCATCTTAATACATAACAAAAGATAGATAGTACAAACGTCATTTATATTCGTATTGTTAGAAACTATTTAAATTGAGCCATTTGTGCACAAAAGGTGTTCAACTGTTTTTAAATTCCTTAGCCAGGTGTGGCTTTAAAGGACAATGATCACATTGTGGAACCAGTACACAGACACTACTGGGACCATCGGCTACAGAGTTTCACCTTAAAATTCAACTATATTCAAATAACACAATGCCACAGATGACAAGAGAAAGAAGGAAGCTGGATGTCGACATGTCAGTTAGAGCCTTGATGCTATGGATGGAAGTGTCTGACATTCTGATCTTAACCCCCAGAATGTCCGCCAACTTCACAGAGTCCTTCAGGACATTTAACCTCATCAATTCTATTTAATTCTGAGTGACTTGTGCTTTCTGGTCTCTGAGTCGACTCTTTATCAACCTTTCATTTTCAATATAGTGCATGCTTGGCTGTTTCATGATGTCTATTTTGTTGTAGAGATGCTATTTGTTGTACAAACAAATTGATATTCTCCTATATTTAAAAGAATAGAATTTGATAAAATATGAAAGGCTGCACTAATTTCAATAACATTGAAAATGTGTTGCTTTGAGATTACTAATGTAGCGTAGAAGTCAGTTTAAGATGCAACACCCTGAAGAACTAATACACAGAAAAAACATGTCTGTGAAGATTCTCGGTCGTCCAGGTCATGGCTATTCTGTAGAATTCTGTAGAATAACCACAGAAAAAACAAGCAAACACTTATTATGGAACTGATCACAGCTGAACTGAAACTTCAAATTCTGCGGGAAAGTATTTATCTGCCCCGTTTGCAAGTCAATGAGGACGTGGACAGCTGAAGGTGGAAAGCATATTACAAGGATGAATCAATAGATTTAACTTGATAACTGCTTTTAATCCACAGTGCATCACAGTTATTCGGAATTAATTCTGCTACATCAAAAGAATAAACATTACATTTGATCTACAAATTCTTTTAGCATCTCAAAAAGAGCTGTTGCTCAAGGAAAAGATGGATTTGTTGCTTTAAAACAAACTGCTTTCTTGTGTTCACAAGCACTTTCTATGGCAATTTCATCCTTTTTTAATGAAAAATCTTATGTCTTTGTAGTGAAACCTTTCCCAGCACAATGAACGTGAGGAAGGTGGAAAAGACAGTTTTGAGCGTGGAGCAGGGAGAAGGAGTCGGCGCTCGGGTTCGCAGGAGCATCGGTAGGAAGGAGGTAAGTTCCTGAACATGTTAATGGAGTTCAGCGGTCATTGTTTTATTATATATAAATCCTAATGATTTGTGTGATTATATGCCACATACTCTATTTCCAGCTGAGGAACCTGGACCCTTTCCTGATGCTGGATGAGTTCAGAGTGAGCAAGCCTGCAGGTTTTCCTGATCACCCTCACAGAGGATTTGAGACGGTAAAAATATTTGATTATAATATTAGGCATTGCAAACTATTCAGTGTGGCAGCAAATATTTAGCTAAGGGGAGTGTTTCCTTATCTGTAGATAAACCGCACAGATTTCAAAGCCCCTAGAGGCAAAAATTGTGACCTTGGGCTCAAGCAAAAATGCCAAAAATGTTCCAACTTTTCTACTTTGGAAATTTACTGTTTTTCTGTTAATCTGAATATATTTGTTTTGTGGATGGTACGTTGGAAAAAAACAAGTAATTTTGTGCCCTCTGTTTGATTTTTAGAAAATCCTGATGGCACTTCTGTAGATTTTATGACATCAAATTGACTAAAGAATTAATCGGGAAAAAATTAAAACCCTCACAATAATTGATGTTAAAAAGTCATTAGTTGCTACTTATTTACATTTTCATCTCTGTGAGTAACAGAAGAATGTCCAATGCAACAAAATCTGTAGGCTTTCATCATCATTTTTCAAATGTAATTTTCCAAGCTCAGCTCAGTACATCATCAGTCACAAAAAAGAATCTGAGACATACGTTGCACAACAAGGTAAGAATATACATACATAATAAATGGACTGCACTTTTCAGCTTTGCAACAAACCATTTTAACAACACAACAACATCAAACTGGTACATTTTCCAACAAAAGAGCTAAAAACAGCAACAATAGCAGCAGACGAACAAGACTGACAGGTTTCGCTGACTGTCAAAATTCCTACTGTGATCACTAGATGGCGACAAAGAGACAAGAGAAGCTCAGGAACACTAGTAGTGCCACTACCACAAATGTTTAAGTGAATTTAAAGTTTTTTAAAAGAAATCACACAGAAAGCTGGAGGTATCAAAGGTGTAATAACTGCTGACTCTATGAAGATTGAATAAGCTCAACTTAAACCTAGAAAGCTTTAAAAAGTTTAATCTCAGGAACTCCCATATAAAAAAAAAAAATTAAAAATCCCCTATTTTGAAAGAGAGGAACTGCCCCAGCTTGTGATGTGGAATCATCACTTTTCACTTCGTTATTTATTTACGTATTATTTTTATGATATTATTGTTGTTGTTGTGGGTTCTCTCCGGGTTCTCAGACTTAATCTCACAGTCCAAGAACATGTTGAGGTTAATTGGTGATTCTAAATTGTCCGTAGGTGTGAATGTGAGTGTGCTTGGTTGTCTGTCTCTAAGTGTAGCCCTGTGATAGACTGGCGACCTGTCCAGGGTGTCCCCTGCCTTCACCCTGAGTCAGCTGGGATAGACTCCAGCCCCCCCATGACCATAGTGAGGATTAAGCGGTGTATAGATAATGAATGGATGGATGGATGGATGGATGGATGGATGGAGTTTTAATGGTTAAAAAAAAAAAAAAAAGTAATTTTGGCCTGTGGTTTGATGGGAATTTTTCAGCACCATTTGCCTTTTACTTACTTCGTGTATCAAACAAATGGCCAATATGAGTTACAGCTCTGACTTTGACTGGACAGAATGAGTTTTTAAAGCTCTGCCCCATTCATAATATTTTATTGTAGTGTTAACAGTAACACTGCAGCCACACCGATTAACGAAGACAGTGTAGCATCCTGGACTTGTATCTAGTCAAACTTAAAAAAAAAAAAAAAAAAAAATCCCTAGACATTGTCCTCAGATTGCCAGACGTTCCCCCCCTCAAGTGTATTTGATTTGGCAGATGCAACTTAAATCTCCCGGTGTGGGTGGACGGGATGAGGCTTCACTCCCAGCATGCCTTTCAGCAGGTGTGTTTGCTCACGCTCACATGACTTTTGAAATGGCACAGCTGTGGAGACAGATCACATGCAGCTCTCTGCAGGGGCCCAGGCTTTCCTCCCTTACACAGATGTTCACCTCTGAGCTCCGTGACCTGACGCCCAGCGCCTCTCTTCCTGTCCAGTCTGACCACTGCGGCGGTGAAACCGGTGCACACGTGGCTCCGAGCAAGTGTGGCGGAAGCACTTGTTTGTAACCTGGAACTCAATAACTCACAAAATGCAGAACTGATTGTTCCCTCATGAATGACATATGAGAACAGTTCTTTAATTAAGCCTTGAAATATCGCAAATTAACTAATTGTATGTGTTTGTGTCTTTCAGGTAACGTATGTTTTAGAGGGAATCACAGCCCATGAAGACTTCTGTGGCCATTCAGGTCGACTGAAACCTGGAGATCTGCAAGTACTGCATTATTAAGCAAAAGTTTGTTCTTTTGCAAATATTTCTTTCTTGTTAAGAGTTAAAAAGACTAATGTACATACAGTAAACATGAAGCTTTTCTGGAAACAAGGAGAAACTGCAGGCCTGACTGTCTTACAAAATGTGATTAGAAGCACCTCTTTACATCTCATGTGCTGTTTTATGCACCTTCAGACAGTCAGGTTGATGCTAAGCTAAATCTAAATTGCTGTCCTGCATACAGCACGTGTAAGCACGATAGTGTCGCCACCGCAAGATGCTGACAAGACACATAGAATTGACCGTGTCTGGATAATAAAACCAGATAAACAACCACAGGCCATTTTTATACTTTGGTTTAGGCACAGATAAGATAAAACATATTATGTAGCCTTTTAAAGAGGCTGACAGGTATAGGGTTTTTTTGTATGTTTGGTTAGAACCAAACCAGCTGTTTCCCAGTGGATTCAGTCTTTGTGCTAAGCTAAGCTAACCATTTGCTGACTGTAGCTTCACATTGACCACATGTGCATTAAAGCAGGACTCTCTTTAGGAAAACAATAAGCATGTTTCCAAAAATGTGAAACTCTTCCTTTGACTTTGCCACCAGTATAACTTTCAAATGAATTTAATGGACAAATGATTCGAAGAGGGTGATAATTTGTAGGCCATCTATTAGTGTAATATTCTGAAAGTAAATGTGATTTAAAGAAGCCATTAACTTGAATCAGCAGCACCCTTGTTGTAAATGTGAATGAAGCTACAAGAGCAGAACCAGACTTAAGCCAGATCAACCTCATTTCAAATGCATTATAACGTCGTGCACTCGCACTAATTGGATATTACGCCCTGTGGGTTGTTTCCTGTGTTTTCAAACTAGTAAAGTTACATTCACACACACACACTCACACACTCACACACACACACACACACACAAAACCAGGCTGCTGACTCAGCTCCAATCTGCAGCTGAGGTTCAGTCAGTTCAGCTGAATTCACTGGAACCCACCATGTGCACCCTCTGTAGGCCTCATGGGATCTGCAGATGCTCAAACAGACGCTTGGCTGTCCTTTAGGGAAAAGCTAAAACAGTGCCTCGGATTAAAGCAGGGTTTGATAAAAGGAAAGGAGAATT